TGTTTCACTGGCATTGATTAATGTTTTTATCAGTAAGTTTGGATTGAAATATCTTGAAGATGTTTTATCATTATCTCCCTTTTATCTCCTCTTTCTTTCATCTTTTCTCCTTTTCCTTTTCTGTTCTACTTACATTGCAGTGTCCATATAATCTGTAAATCTCCCTGCATGAATTATAATAAAGCTATTTATATGCATAAATCAAGGGGAACGCTATGGCGATAGCCGTACTGCTCCACTTGTGAAAGTAAAATCTGTTGGGTTCTTTTTGGCATCAAGACAATTATTCTTTTTGCCACATTGCCAGACAGGAAAAAGAAAATATTGAAATATCTTGTGTTTTGTGCTTTTATAACAACTCAGTGTTGATTATTATAAAAAGAAGTCGGAATCAGCAGATCAGGCTTTATAAAGATTTGGTGATCGGTGATTGGCTGGAGACCTATAATAGGTGGTCTCCCATGTGGAAGAGCTTGAAATGTTATCATATATTAACCCTGTAATGCCAAATGTATCATATTTGATACATACGGTTTCTGAAATGTTTTGCGTCTGACACCTTTTGCATAATTTAATGGTAAAAACTTTGCTCAAAATCCTATTGTACACAATCAGATATACCTGATAACAGCCAGTAGAAGACTACACAAAGAATCTTGACTTATCGCATAGTAATAAATTATTAATATCAAAAATGTATTTCTGTTTTTTCTTTTTATATATTTTGTTAAAAGGCCAAATAAGGACTTCAAACCAAAAAAAGTTATTTTCTGTTTTCAATAAAATAATTTGATGAAATAGAAAAAAAGAATTGGCTTGATTGACAAACGTCAGATTTGCACATATTTTAAAAATGGCCCCTTCAGGAGGGAGTCTCTCTCTGGGAGATAGGAGGCAGTCCGCCTCCAAAAAGCTTCTGAAAATGTTTCCTTTATGGTTTTTGTGTCTTAGTGATGCACAGTCAACTATCCATGAGTTCCTCTGCAAAAAAACAATCGGTTTAATTTATTCTTGCAACTGCTACTGATTTTTTAAAGACATTTAAATAAAAAAAAATCTGTTTGCATGAAATGCAGTGAAATTTTTAAAATTTTTGGTTGAAAACTTAAGAGGTTTTAACTCTTTCTCTTAAATCAAACTTAGTGAAGATGGTAACCGTCATCTGCTGCTAATGACCTGTTAAATGAAAACCATCTAAATCATCCGTTTTAGTAGGATTTTTGTATTATTTACATATTTAACTGATTATAATGTAGCAGATAAAATGTCTCTAATATTTTTTAATGCTTAAAATAATTATTTAAGTTTTAATGTCAAGGGGGGCAGCGTTCACATCAGAAAACAGCATCCTCTGTATTTACTGCAGGATCTGCTATGAAAAGATGCACGAATCTTAATTAAAAGGCAGAGTTAAACCGTCTGCTGGGAGCAGAACCTGCCGAGCCGGGCCTGCGCGCGTCTGATGTGGGCAGTCTGGCTAGTCGGTTCACTGTAAAAGGGCACATTCTGGAAAATCCACAGGAGGAGGGGAGGAAGGCATGTGTGAGAGAAAGAAATACGATCTAAGTCAATAGGAGATGGGGAGCGAGACAGTCAGAAAGGGGGAGGGAGGGGGGAGTGTTTAGGAGAGCTGTTTCTCCCAAGTTTGGTGTGATAGACTGGAAGCTCAGCTATCCCTGCTGCTTTAATACGTGTTTGTGTTGGCAGCATGCTGCCTGCACTGAGAGGACTGATCCGCAGAACATTCAGAAAACGTGTGCGGTTCAGTGTGAGTGGGGGAGGGATTTGGGGGGAGCGGCCCTAAACCCGAAAGCCAGAATCCAAAGTATTAGGGCAGCGTTTTTGTGCCAGTAAGGAAATACATGGAGAATAGAAGCGGGCGGGTGGAGGTGGAGGTGGGGGGGTGAGAGGTTCTGGATGCAGGAATGTCCACAGGCCCTTTTCATTTTTGGTTAGCTTCCTGCTCTGTTCATGGACCTCATCCTAAAGCACTTGTTTTTATTACGCAGTAAGACTTTCAGTTATGCTGGAAGTCGGTGAGGAGGACGGAATAAGTGAAAGCAGAGTTATTTTAGGAACTGAAACCTGATAAAAGAAAATATGGAAATTACTAAACTCTTTCATTTGGAGTATTTTTATACCTTAATTTATGAATAGCAGGGAAATGAGGCTGAATTGTGATAACCATGTAAGGTTTTCCTTCCCATTCACATCTTCGTCAGCTTTGTAAAACACTGGAACAGCATCATATGTCGGAGTTAAAGGAATTAAAGTGACTTAAATAATTTATAATACTCTATTATATTTACTTCTGAAACCTGCTTTAAATTCATGTTAATTTTTAAGGGAAGAAAAACTTAATTCAATTCAATTCAGTTTATTTCTATAGCGCCAATTCACAACACATGTCATCTCAAGGCACTTTACAGTTCAACAGATCATACAGTCACATTGATTCAAAGTTTTCTATCTAAAGAAAACCAGTTGATTGCATCGAAACATTGACTCGAATACTTGTAGCGACAGTGGAGAGGAAAAACTCCCTTTTAACAGGAAGAAACCTTCAGCAGAACCAGGCTCAGTGTGAGGGGCCATCTCCTGAGGCCGACTGGGGTTCAAGGAGACAGAAGCAGAGATACAAAAAATACTTAAAAAAAGCTCATTCTGACTCTCTGTCATACCGCCTTTTTTTCGTTAGGGAACGAACAAGGGTATGTCTTTTTGTGTGTGTATGTTCTTGTGGATAAAGTGTTAGCATCTTTAGCAGCTAGCCAGGGTTCATTTATCATCATTCCTTCTCCTCTTACTCAACAAGTAAATAGTCACAAGTAGCAACAATAAAGTAACAGCCTGCAGCTGAGTCCGTGGTTGTAATTGCCCATTTGGGTGGGATAGAGAGAGGAGTCTGATAGCAATGTGGGCTAATGCTAGCATCCTTCCAGAAATTATGTAAATCAAGGAGGAGGACCAAAATCAGGTTTTGTGGAGAGGGCTGGCTTGTGGACTATTATGGTTTAAACAAAGAGCCCACACAAAAAAAAAAAAAAAAAAAAAAAAGTGAAATTCACATCTTGTGTTTTTCAGCTTCAATTAACACCCACATTTCAGATTTCTGTTTTATGACTCCCTTAAAAAATCAAGAAGCTGATAAAGGAGGTTGGCTTTAGACACCCTGTCTACTTTTAAGGTTAGGCTGAAAACTTTCCTTTTTTATAAAGCTTCTAGTTAGAGTGGCTCAGGTTATTCTGATCTATCTCTATAGTTATGCTACTATAGGCTTAGACCGCTGGAGGACATATGGATCCCTTTTTCATCATTCTACTTCATTTGTTCTATATTTTCCAATTCAGCAGAATGTGTTACTTCAGTCTCTAATATGATGCTCTGTCTGCTTTTTCTCATAGTAGCTTCATCGGTTTCTGTTTGGCTGTGACTCCATCCTGGAAAGAAATATCAGCTGTCCTGCTGCCATAAACACCTTTGTTTATAGATGTTTGAGCTTGACCTATTTTCAGTGTAGTCCTGTTTCTCTGACTGTGACTGGCTGGATGTGCTCTCTTCATCCTCTGACATGGGAGCTTGCTTGTAGCTCGTCTGCCTGGCTGTGTGTTTCCTTGATGGGAGCGCCTGTGGAGCTGGTTGACAGTTGCTTTTTGTATCTTTGGCTCTTTCAGTATGTCTGCCTCTGTCTCCTTGAACCCCAGTCGGCCTCAGGAGATGGCCCCTCACACTGAGCCTGGTTCTGCTGGAGGTTTCTTCCTGTTAAAAGGGAGTTTTTCCTCTCCACCGTCGCTACCAGCATGCTTAGTGTGAGGGATTGCCTTCGGGTCAATGAGTCGATGCAATCAACTGGTTTTCCTTAGAAAACTTTGAACCAATCTGACTATATGATCTGGTGGAATTGTTTCCGTAAAGCATCTTGAGATATCATGTTGTGAATTTCTGCTACTTGAACTGAATTGAATTGAATTGAATTGAATTGGCTTTGTTCTGGAGACTCTGGAGATAATTGTGCAAAGAAGAATGTTTCATGAAACCATGAACACCTCTGAGTGTTATCTTTAGGTATTACAATCTGAGTATTTTAGCAGAGCCACTTAAACAGGGACCACTAGGAAAGCCCTTCTGTCCACAATCTAAAGCATCCACTTTATGTATTTACAATTTACTCATGTGTTTAAATGCTGCTGTTTTGCATTGGCTGACCAACAACTCTGATTGGGCTTAGACTATACTTCAAGTAATGGTGTCGAGATGTGAAAAGATGGTGGAGATGTTTTTTACATCCTTCTAAAAGAGATTCCAAATATCAATGAATTTCCTAATGGGTAAAATAAACATTTGATTTAAAAGAATGTTTTCCAGCTTAAATATGTAGGAAAAACTGCCAAGAATCATGTTTGCTGTGATTACAGAAAAGTGAGATCAAAACAAAAGTGGCTGAAAAATTTCCTTCAACCAGAACCAAAGTTGAAATGCAATATCTTAAAAAATATCTTAAAAGTAGAGGTGAAATAAAAACAATTTTAAACAAAAGCTGGTGAAGATTCTCATTCATCCAGGTCATAGTCATTCCAAAAAAAAGAAAATAAAACTTTGTTTCCATCTTTGAAGACGTTTTGCTTCCCATACAGGAAGCTTTTCCAATTAAAAATGTCAGAATTAGCGTTGAGTTTGAGCTTTTATACAGTGTTTCATTCAATGTTTACACAGCCTGTATAAAACCTTGAACTCAACACTATTCCTGACATTTTGAATTGAAAAAGCTTCCTGGACGGGAAGCGAAACGTTTTCAAACTTGGGAAACAATTCCATTGGGTTGTTCTTAATTTACATTTATTTAGAACCAAAAACTATCTCAGAGTGATGCATTATTAAATATAAGGAATCTTTTTTTACATGTTAATACATTAAAATCAGCAATATTCCAGCAATTCTTGCTGTTCTCGGCATGGATAAATGTCCCGCCTCATCCTGATGTACCTGTTCCTCCCCATCAGCTGGCTGGGAAGTATGACCCTCACAAGGAAGAAGAGCTGAGGCTGTGGATTGAGGACGTGACCGGCAAACGAATCGGAGATAACTTCATGGACAGTCTGAAGGATGGAGTCCTGTTGTGCGAGTAAGGCATCAGAAACGCCAAACTTTTTCATCATACTGAGAAGTTCCTTTCTAACTGAGTATCCCTCTTTTTTTCCCGTCTTTGTAGGCTCATTAATATTCTACAGCCAGGCTCTGTGAGGAAGATCAACAACTCCAGTCAGAACTGGCACAAGGTACCGCAGCACTGCTTTTCTATTTCCTTTCCATAAAGCAGCTGATTTACCTGCCCAAGCATATTAGCCTCTCACAGCAGAACAACAATCTGAGATTTTAAAGGCTGAATAAATTTCCCCACATGCCCATGCATTTACTCCTCTAACTGCTTTAAATCCTGACTGCTTCCTCAGCTGGAAAACATAGGGAACTTTGTTCGTGCCATCACGGATTACGGCCTGAAGCCACACGACATCTTTGAGGCAAACGACCTGTTTGAAAACGTCAACCACACACAGGTCCAGTCTACGCTCATCGCCCTGGCTGGAATGGTGAGACGCCGCAGTGAAGCGTACTGTCCTTATCTGAACCCATACATCTCTGGAAATTAGGATTTATTCAGAAAAAAGCAGATTTACATCAGATGCAACAGTTTAACTCAAATTATAAGAGGAGTCTTTGCAGCTCAGACGCCCATAATTCAGTTTCTCAGAAAATAAGATGACGTAACCTAATAAAACTATTTTTGTAGTTATTATTTTTAGATTTCTGCCTACTTGATACAAGTTCATGGTTTTCCAGATGGCATTCATTGAAGGCTGTTATATAAGAAGCTTGTTGTTTAGAGGTTTGTGTCAAAAGTGTTTTTTTTTTTTTTTTTAAAGGAAAGTTTGTTGGAAGGAAAAAGTTTGGGTGCACAACCTACGTTAATAAATCCAGACTTGAGAGGATAGTGAAGAAAAGTGCCTTTTTATTGGCCTTATGGAATATTCTGATAAATTGGAAAAATTAGTCTTTGATTTTCCTCACCTGTATGCAAAAATTACTTAAAGGTATAGTGGAGGATGTTCTTTTTCTGGGTGGATCATCAAAATAAGTTGTCCTCCTAATTGTCAATCATTCTGATGATATGTTTGCCTAAGGCTGTCCTATGTGCTTGTCCCCTTTTTCACTTACCAGTGGTGAGTCTGACATAGTGGAAAATTGCAAATATACTTTTAGAAAGTACGCTTTTATGAGCGACGCAAACTGCAACTTTTAAACAGAGCGTGCACGAGGAAATTTGGGTCTGTGCACGCTCTCACATGTGATTAATAGGTCTTCCCTCTCGTGCATGGGTACAGGGTTGTGCATGTGCATTTCTTTTTAAAATGGAGAGGGTGGGTCTTTCAAAAATTTCGCGAAAATCCTCCACTATACCTTTAAATGAATAGAAATAAATGCTGTCTGTCGCTCTTTGTGTAGGATTTATATAATTTCAGTTTCAACATATAAACCAAAACTTAGTTCTGATTAGGGTTGTCACGATACTAAACTTTTTAACTCGATACCGATATTAAGGAAAATATTCGATACTCGATACCATTTTCGATACCACAAGAATAAAAACTCCAAATTTCAATAGAACTATTTTGATTAATAATTAAAATACAATAAATAAATACAATAAACAATAAGAACAATATTTTGAGGTTGTTTGCTGTGCACAGTATTAAGCAAGCTTGATAAAAAACTAAGTTTTCCTTACTTGGTTATGCTTTGCACACATAATGACACTAGCCAAACCGGTTAAGAAACAAAAATAATTCTCAGCAGCTGCACCTGTTACAAAAAAAGTCTGAAACTGAAAAGTGCACAGAATTATTCAATCACACAGTGTTCTGAAAGTGCATTTTCCTCTATTCTGCACTTTAGATGAATGACTGTTTAGGTGCCACTGGTGGTGGCACTGTATCGAAACTTTTGAAAATGAGTATTGTATCCGGGTACGTTTTAGTATCGATACTTTTTTGGGTATTGATACTTTTGACAACCCTAGTTCTGATATTTATGTGGTCATACATAGGGGTGTAAATAATAATCACGTTGTATCGATCCATCTATCCAACAGCCGACGATCCGATGCTTCGACACGTCCGTAAGAGTATCGATTCATGTTTTTTTTTTTTTTTTCCTCCGATCTATTTTTATCCATTTGCTCCTGGACTTAATTCTCACTCCCGTGCTGCGGTGGCGCTAAACCAATTTTGCCCTACTACCTCGCTTCCTTTAGCCACTACATTCTTTCCACTTGCACACACACACTCGCATAAACACATGGGCATTATTATTTTTCAGTGAATGAGGTTTTCATAGGCCTAAGGTGGAGTACGACTTTGCTACTTCTGTTATTTGCTTTTGTTTCTCAAATAAAAAGCATAACGATATTACAGCTTTCATTGATTTATTTCAAATTTGAAACATTATCTAGACTGTAAGGTTTAAAAAAATGGAACAATGAATCGAATCGTATCGTGGTGTATTCTTGAGTATCTAAAATAATCGAATCGTTGGGTCAGGAAATCAGTACTGAATCGAATCGCCATGATGGATGTGATTTACACCTCTGGTCATACATGTGCTGCACATGTTGACCAGCCTGTTGATTTACTAGCTGCAACCAGACAGGAAACATTTCTGTCAGAAGATTCCTGAAAAGTAGCCAATCACAGGCAGTTTACTTTCTCAGGTTCGTTCAACCCTCAAAGTGACAAAGATTGATATAAGTTCCCAGAAACAGGTCCGCCAGGAAAAGAGAGGCTGCAGGCGAATAAAAAGCAAGAGAGTGTGAAGAAGTAGCATGAAGTCATGCATGTGACATACTGTGGGCCTTGTGGTATTGAATGTGGACATAAAACCTTCAAAATGCGCATGGAGAGTAGTTAACGTGTGGTTTTTAAATGAAACTGCTTCTATGAGTATTTATTAGCGGGGTGCCCTTTTGATAGTATTCTGACGTCATTACTCTGTTCCATACATGTATTCTGCCATAGACACCAAAGTGAAAACTTTCCTCTGTGTTTCCTCATTATTCCGATTCTCAGGCCAAATCTAAAGGTTTCCATTCAAAGTACGATCTAGGAGTAAAGTACGCCGAGAAGCAGCAGCGACATTTTGCTCCAGAGAAGCTCATGGAAGGTCGGAACATCATAGGACTGCAGGTCAGAGAAGCTAAAACTGCCTTTTTCTAGCTTCACCAAAGCTCTACAACCATTCCGGTTAACGGTGTCAACAATTTGCTTTTGATTCCAGATGGGCACCAACAAGCTGGCCAGCCAGAAGGGCATGACCTCTTATGGTACACGGCGTCATCTGTACGACGCTAAGATTGCCATGGACGCCCCGATGGACCAGTCCACCATCAGCCTACAAATGGGAACCAATAAGGGAGCCAGCCAGGTGAGGCAGAAGTGGTTTATTTCAACCCTTGTTCTTTAAAAAGGCTGAAAAATTAGCATGTTTTACACTACAATATTACCGGTACTTCACCTTTTTCAGGATTAAAGGAAAAGTCTGGTCCGCAAGGAATGATCAATGGATCATTATCTATACTTAAAACAAATACTTTTGCGGTGTTTTAATTTAGCGTTAATTAGTAAAAAAATAAAAGCAATACTTTTTTTCAATGATCACTGAGTCTGGGAGCGGCCATTTTTTCCCAAATATAGTAACAACTCACTCCTAACATCTTCCAGCAGTGACGTCACGGTGCGGTAAGCCTAGTGCCATTTTCCCCGCTTTACAAGCAAAATCGATTAGAACTACTAGACACATTTGCAATCAACAACAATTATTGAAGATTTCCAGAGGACTTAACCAATGAAATTCACCAGAGCTATAGTGAAACTGACAATACCCACGTGCATGGCAGCTGGATGTTGGAATACATCGGGTTGAAGTGAAAAAATAATAAGCTATTGCACCTTTCCGATTCATGATCCTCCACGGACGGGTTACTTGAAGAGGGAGGATTTGTCATCGAACTTCTGGGGAATAAAAACACGTAATATGAATGTTTTCAAGATGACTTGGATAATAGCCCGTTGTGATAAACACCAGATACAGCACTGGGACTTGATCAACAGCCGATACCGCACTGTGACGTCACAAACCAATCCTTTAAAGATCAGCCTGATTTAGAAATTATTCTGGTTTCTTACTAAATAAGGAAACATTTCTTCCTCAGCTGGTACAAATATGCTTGACGGTATCAAGGAAAATCAGCTGAGTTTGTTTTTGAACATTTTATATCAAAGAACAGATTTTCATGTCAGTTGAGTATAAAGAGAAGCAACTGATCTTTTGTTTTGTTTGTGAGAGCAAACAGGGAACCCCAGCAGAGTCTATGGCCTTAAGGCAGTTCTCTGTAGATCCTTTATAAAAGACACTCACTGAAGACTAAAAAAAAATCCAGCTTTAAGGAGCAGGGCATTTTCTGGGGATGAAACAAAGTTTACTTATTTAGTTTTTTATTTTAGAAAAGCAACATTAGTAAAGTGGCTCAGTGACTATTTGAACTAAATACCTTTAGTAACTGAGCAGAAGGGGGGTGTCTTCCAGGCCCTGCAGAGCACACCTCATCTAAAGCCGGCCATACACATCACATGTGTGATACTTTCAATCATTGCACGCAGCTACAGCTCAAACTGTACGACGAAACCGCAGGGTTTAAAAGTTCACAGCTCACCCTGAACGCTCTCACACTATGCAACTCGATGCTCTGATGCAGCCTTAGGACGGCCGACTGGATTTCAAACATGCTTGATTTTCTCCTGACCTTAGGATTCCTGATCGGGAGGTGGTCTTGAGAGGCCGATCGCCCCTCGTTATCCCCTGTATACAAAAAAGAACAAAAAACGCATGATCAGGCTGAAAGTCGGCCCGATCGCAAAATTCTCGCATTAAGAGTCTTGCCCTTGTTGCTGCTCTGTTTGCAGGTTTGGTGGGTTCTGTAAACGGAGGCATTGAACAGGCGGCGGTGAAACTGTACAGATTTCATTTTGAATGGGGCAGCAGTTTCTACATGTAGGTTTAAGCATCAAGAGAGCTTCTTGGGGGGGAGAAACATGGCTGGCCTTTGGTTAAAGGCCCCTCTACAAACTTCCACTCTGAAATATTTCAGACAGTCCACCCTGTGATAGACTCGTGCATTAAGGATGGTTTCATAGATGTTTTTCTTCTACTTCCTTGACTTTATGCATAGAGCAGAGTAGCGCCAACATGTCCATATATATCAATGCATTCTTCTTGGCATTTTAACATCTGATGACAACTGGAGGACTCACAGACTCTTTCCTCCTGGCATCACTGCTGTACTTAAGATAAGATATTCCTATAGCTCCCCACTGCAGGCCTCTTGTTGTTTGCAATAGCTTTTTTATACCAGAGACAAGAATAGAAAAGCCTAGAAATACCAAAGCCAAGTGCAGACACCGATGACCTCCACAACAACAGCTACAGACTAATGAGATCTAGAGAGGAAACAGAAACAAACTGGTACAGCTTATTTTGTCTTTGTGTCTTTATAGAGGTTTTCTTATTGCCTGCAGTTCTGACTTGGGAAAAATAACAAACAAAAAAATCAAATGTCTGCAAAGATGGCTTTAGGGGTGGAGGAGCTTATATGGCACCTGCCAAGGAACCTGAAAATCACCAAATTTAATTGAACACATCATCACATCTCCCTGCAGTACCTAGGTGAATTAATCTGTTTCAGATTAAAGCTTATTTATCCTTCAAAAGGTCTAGACCAGAGGTCACGGATTAGCGGACCCACCTACTTGCTAATCAAGACCCTACCTGATTTAAAACATTTATAAATTCCTGCATGTTGTCTGAAGACATTATCTAACGTCACTTGCGCCACTTCTCCTGTTTTTATGGTAAAACCATAAGGAGTGTCCGGCACCAGCCTGCACATGATAAGAATGATCCAATGAGCTGCTGTCAGTCTGGGTTGCTGCTGCTGCTACTTTTAGACACAGCAAACAAACCTGTGGCAAGCCGGGCGATGGGAAAGAAGGAGAAGATGATGAGGAAAAAGAGAACAGAGAAAGTGTGAACTACTGGACGAAACACATGGAACTGGTGAAAGAAAAGTGAAATGGTGTGTTCAAAGATGACCCTGAACATTTAGAGGATGTTTAGCTCAACCTGCTGCTGTGAAGCAGGATTCTCCACCATGAACAGAATCAAAAATAATTATGGATCCAGACTCAAAATGAGCATGGCTTTGTCTCCATTCAAACCCAGGTTTAAAGCCTTGCAGGTCAGCATAAAGTCCACTGCTCTCTGGTCAGTTCAAGCGTTTCATGAAAAAAAATGTGAATCAGGAAATTGTCTAAATACCAAACTTAAAAATTGTTTTCTACTTCAAAAACAATTTACATTTTAAAATGGAAAAATTTTGTTTTTTATATTTATTATTTAAAATTTTAATTTAAAACATGGATGCATAAACACCTGCAGTTTATTTCAGTGTTAAATTCTGTTTAAAGTAACATTTTATAATAAAAAATGTCTCCGGACCTTTACTGGTTGATTTTCTTTATTCGGACCCCGCTGATTTTTAATTGGCTGCCCCTGACCTACTGTAGACCTAAATCCAGTTATTACAAAGAGAAAGAACAAAGGTTCGCTTATAGAAGGTCTACAGGTAAAGATTTATCCAAACATGTAGAAAGTTCGTTAAAAAAGAAAAACTGTAAGATTTCTCTTCAAACCCCTTCGTCTCTCTCTCTGCCTCCCTCCATCTAGGCCGGCATGATGGCACCAGGAACCAGGCGGCACATCTTCGACAAGAAGCTGCAGCTGGAGAAATGCGACACCTCCACCATCTCTCTGCAGATGGGCACCAACAAAGTGGCCTCCCAGCAGGGCATGACCACCTACGGCCTGCCGCGGCAGGTCTACGACACCAAATACTGCGCCAACCCCATGGAGACCTACTACAACAACGGGAGCGAGGAGGTGGAGTACGACGGCTACAACCAGTACTCTGACTAACCAGTACTCTGCCCCCCCCCCCGCCTTTGCTTTAACGTCCGACAACCCTCCACAGCTGTCTCTGCGACGGGCAAAGCTTCCAGACTGCTATTTGACTCTGAATGACGTCATTCATTGCCAGTCGTTTTCTAAACCTCTTTTTACTCCTAACAATTTTATATTTTTGCTTTTTCTTGAGCACGAGAAAGAATATTGTTTACACTGGCCTTGAGTTGAAAGTGTTTATGCTGTGGCCAACTTCTGTTGCCCTGGTTATTGATCTTATTGGTAGAAAATATCCAAGCAGCACAGAGACGGAGATGTATTGATCTTTGCTATTTATAGATTTTTTTTTATTGCTTTTATCGCTGTTATCAAAGATTTTAACTCTTGACATCCCTGACAGTTAATTGCTACCTTTCCGTACTTGTTTAGGCACCAAATAGAACCTGAAAATTGTTGAACTTTAGCCCAAGTCCACATTAGATCTCTTCTAAACAGGTTTTCTGTCTCCTACAGTTCACTGCTTTCACAAAGGAACACCTCTGTGTCGAGTTATGTAGTTAAAGGTTTGGTATATTGCACCCAAGTCCACTTAAGGAGCCCTTTTTTTTCTTTTTTAGGCTGTTTTTTTATTTCATTTTTGCTTTTTTTCATGGTGGAAGCCGACATTAGTGCTGTTGCTTTACGAGCACTTAGCATTTACCAGGGAATGCTACTATCTACATGTATTAGGATGCCTTTTTTTTTGCTAATATCCAGAACATCGAATTTATATTAACCAGCAATTTCATTACAAAGTAGAATTGTAAGTAATTTCTAAAGGATTTAATTGAAGCAGTCTTTCTGCAGACGTAGGAGAATCTCTAATTTTAACGTTCTCAAATTAAGGGTCTGAGTGTGAATAGCAGCAGATCCAAAGCTACTAGTTTACTCTTTATAATGGAAAATAAGGCTAAAGAAATTAGAACTGTGATTTTTTTTTTTTTAACAACTCTTCCTGATCATTAATCATCACTTAATTGTAGGTTAAATATGCCACTTGCTCTTATGGGATTTATTACCCAATCAACTGTGATTGAGAACAGCTGTTCTACAGGTTAAAAGGCTGTGGATACAAACAGCTACCACTGTGTGACTATTAGAAGTGCGCCATCTAGTGTTCATTGCATGTATTTACTGTATCATCACTCCCAAGTTGTCTTTGCTTCAAATTGTAGTGAATTTCAGTGTAATTATAACTATTTTTTTTTATGTGGATTAAACTAAATATTTCTTCTAATAACAACAGCACTGATGTGGACTTATTAAACAGACAAATTTTAAATAAAAATGTTTATTTTAATGTTTTTTTTTCCTCCCCCTCCAAATTTTAGGCTAACCTGTCCCCTTCTACACCCTGTCAGCCTTTCACTAAATGGCATTTGTGCAATAAAAACACTTGAAAACAGCAGCTGGGATTTTTTATTTCTTTTTATTTGCTGTCAGCACCTAAAGGTACATAAATGTGAAATACATCACATTGGTGTGAAAGAAAGTACATGATTGTGAATTTACAGGGTAAAACAAATATTTTTTCAGTGCATCAATGATAGAGTTCCAAACTAAAAATGAAAAAAACTAAAACAGTCTCCGACTTTAGAATATCGATGGAATAACAGAAAAAGGAAGATTATTTTTTATATATAAATGATTTTTTTTTTTTTTAAATGGTGAGATACTCCATTGTTTTTTTGGTCCTTCACAAGAAATAAAAAAAATTACTCCAAAAGGAATTTAGATTTACAAAAAAACAAACAGGAAACATGTTAACATTTATAGGGAGAACCACGATAGACGCAGGTAAGCATGGCATCACCCTGACCTGACCGGAGGAATGTGACGGAAAAAGTGGAACTAAGAATTGACAAAGTTTAGAGGAAACAACGTATATGATCCCAGAGTGAGGTATGCAGGACTACTGATTGGCTGCTTCGCAGGCGTCGATCCAATCGCTGTACACGTCCACAGGTTCAGAAAGATCTGGAGAGGAGTCATTTAGGAAGATAATTTTTATAATGATTCAGTGGGATGAATATTGTGTTGTCAGATTAAGAACTTTGATTTATTGTGATGACAAAGTAAATTTCTATTAAAAGTTCAGTTTGATTTCTTTTATTCACTAATTCTATAAAAGCACAAATAAAATATATAAAATGTAATAAAATAAAAGCTCAGTTTGTGTCTCTTTCTGCAAAAATCATTGGAAAGCTGTTCATTGTCAGACTAGATTGACTGAATGATAAAGAGAATATAATAGTATAAAGTGCATACAGGTTTATATAAACGGATCAAAAACTGGCGTATAATTGAGTCAATTTAAGAAATCAGTATTTTCCAAAATAGACATTCACCAGGGATTTTCAGAGCAATAACATGTTTTTTATAAACTAGAACTGCACAGTGTAACAGGACTGGTGCTAAAGCAGATCAAAGCTTAGAAACAGGCAGCGATTTAAACAGATTGGAGACTTTTTATCGGGTTGTTTGGAGATTTTTCTGTGGGGTCCTTCAGGGGTCAGTGTTTGGTCCTAAACTATTTATTCCTCACATAAACATTGTGTTTCAGATATAAAACAAAAAGAAATCTGTTTTATTTGCAGATAGCACAAACAATGGGGCAGGATTTAGAAAATATTTGAGTTGATTACTTTAGAAATGCCTGAATTTAGTAAGATAGTTTAAGAGAAACAATTTATCAGTGAACGTAAATAAAACAAAATCCAATTGTTTTTGGAAACAACATCACAAATATGGAAGCAAATGTAAAACTCAATCATGCAGCAATGGATTTTAGGAATGAAAACAGAACAGAAGATCATCTGGAAACTATAAAAAACAATAATATAATCTAAACCATCAGTATTTTACTTTTTTATATCACTAATCTCTAAGTACTGAATTTCTATCTTTATGCACCATATCTGGAATACTAAGCAGAAGTGAAAACACAGAAAATAAATCTATAAGACTGATTAATCATGATGTTTACTATGAGCATAGAAATATGCTACTAAAGGAGTTGAATGTCCTGATGTTTGTTGATCTGGTCAAATATAAAACTACACAAATGATGTCAGAAACGAAGTGCTTCTTATTAATTTAGAAAACATATTTTCAGAGAGAGATGGAGGCCATTGTCTCAGAGGAAAATATAATCTTGAGTTTCTTGATGTTAGAATAACTATGAAAATATTTTGTTTCCATCTGTGGATAAAACTGAAATAGTTTCAGTGCAGAAATGCCCAAAAATCTCCCAGATTTAAAGATATTTCCCGGAAATGTTATTTAGCTAATATGACTCATGTATTTAAACCTGTTGCACCGTTTAAGCATGTGTGTAATGCTTTGCTCTGCTATGTATATATTCACATAAACGTGTGTAAATGAATAATAAGAAACATTTTTGTTAAAAGTTAAAGACCAATGTTGATCATCTTAAAATAAGTATTATGCCCAAAGTCTACTAGCATATCTATTATCATAATAAGACAAAGACTGATTTATATTCTGAGCTACTGGGGTGGAATTTATTCGTTCACGCTTCTTCCTACTCCATTCAGCACATCAAATTTAGCTAGCATGCTGTGAAAAGTGTAAACACACTGTTGACTGTACGATTTGTTATACTTATCTCTTTTATTTTCCATTGATGTTCGAAATAAACAAATAACCTGAACTAAAACAGGGTTTATACAGGAGTGAGTAACTCTAACTTAATGCTTTCTAATGCTCTTAGAAATTATTTTAATGCCATCAACAAATACCCATGACTCTCTTTTATATGTATATAGTTCTTCTTTTCTGAACATACGGCTTTATGATCAACCTGAAGCAGTTCTGTGTAAATATATTGCAATATAATATATCTGATTCAAATTTTTTTTTTATAAACTTTTTATTTTTTTTTTTATAAAACATTTGAAATTCCACTATAATCACCTTTAATGAATTTTAATGCCAATTAAGAATTTTTTATTATTATTTTTTATAATTTAATGATTTTTTAATGACCCATGGAAACCCTGTACTAGATGAAACAAACCAACAGTTGTTACTGTTTTGGCTAGAAAGCCCTGAGTTGGAATCCCAGCCTGGAGTCTTAATGCAGGAAGTTTGCATATTCACTTTATGCATGCTTGGGTTCACTCTGTGTACTAAAGCCTCTTTAAACAGTCCAAACACACAACTGTAACGTTAACTGATCGACTTTAAATTCCCTTAGATGTTACTGTGTGTAGATGTTTTGTTTTTCCTGGATGTTTTAACCCATGATGGACAGACCACCTGCTTGTTTGTTTTCTTTTCCTATTTAGTTCTTTTGCATATAGAGCACTTTGAATGGTTCTGCTACTCTGATGTGTTTTCCATATAAACCTAACTTTCCTCGTCCAGGACCGCTTGCTGAACCACATCCTTAGTACTGTGTTAAACTAACGTAGCAGATACTTCCAGTCTGTAGCTCTTTGAAATATTAAACAGAATTCCTTCTGTATCGAGCATTTTTGTGAACTTTAACTTTTTTTTTTCATAATCATTAGGTTGCATTAAAAAAAATAACTTACAAAAATTGATAAATTAGTGACAAAAATGCAGTCTGATCTCTATTAGCATTATTTACTTTTTAAGACATGATCAAATGAACCAACACTTTGCAGATGCAGCAGTTTCTACAGGTCATAAAGGATACATGTAATCGGAGTCTGAAACTCCTCCAAACAAACACTGCAGGATATAATTCCTGTGTTTCTGGTTCTTTCCCTGGAAAATAAAATTATAAACAGACCATTATTTACATGCAGATCAAATTTAAAGGCCTTGACCTTCAGGAAGAGTTACTCACATCTTTACATCGCATGATTTCTCGTGGTTACAGAAGGGACATGTGAACTGGGTGTCCAGGTTTCCCGTCATTTTCTTTTTCGGAGGTGGTTTTCTTTTAGACTTTCTGCGCCCCATTGTGTCCCTGCAGAAAACACAAACCATGCTTTTCCTCATCAGATGGTAACAATTTTTTCTACAGCATTATATAGATTAGAGTGAAGAAAAATCGCTTTAAATGCATTGAGGTTTTAGACATAAAATAAACGACAGTTAAAAGATATAAATACTTCTGCAGCTCATCAAACCTTTCAGTTTATTTCACAATAAAGTAAATTTTATACCAACTTAAAGACCCGTTCATTCATACACAATTTAAGCAATATAGCTCTTTAAATGTTTGCAAGCGTTTTATTTATTTTTTGCTCAAGAGAAATATTCTAAAAACAGAAAAAAAGAAACGGCATAATGATGCTTCCAAAGCTGATGCTAGTAGCTGTTAGCATGTATATGCTAACCAGAGACTGACACAAACGTTGGTTTCTAGCCTTTATCTAGCAGACGGCGGTCTGACCGTAACCTCACTGAACACCTTTCTCCCTCTGTTTCTTGATTTATTTAGTTTAGATATAATTGTTACCGTTATCTTACCAGAATGATGGCAGCGAAGTGAGGATGCTCAGGAGTTCGTTTACCAACTCGTTACGGATACAGCATCTTCTTCTTCTTCTTCTCTTCTATTATGGCGGATCACAAGCAACTTTAAGGTGCATACCGCCACCTACTGTACATGAGTGTGTAGCAGCGTTACTTCACATCTATTAGATTCTATTTTTTAATTTTGTATTCTTAAGATACATAAACAATGCTTTCCTTAGTTTATGAATATCTGTTATGTTTCCTTCATTTCCTAATATTCCTTTAAGATTCCATTCATGCCCTATACTTCTAACTATTCTCTTTAATTTTTCCCTTTCGTGTTCATACAACTTACAGTTCATCAGTATGTGTTCTACATTTTCTTTTTCACCACATTTCTCACATTTCTCACTATTTTTCCTCCCTATTAAGTAAAGCATGTCATTTAAGTAGGTATGACCTATTCTTAATCTACTAACTATTATTTCTTCTCTTCTGTTTCTTTCCTTAATGTTTCGAATTCGAACTGACTTTTGCACTTCATATAATCTTCTTCCTTTCCTATCTTCGTTCCATATTTTTTGCCATTCCTCCATTTCTTTACTTTTAATAAGTGATTTCCCTTCCCCTTTTCCAAAAGGAATTGAAATCGTTATTTCCCCCTCTAAAGCCCTTTTAGCTAATTTATCTGCCTTTTCATTGCCTTTTACTCCTTCATGTGCCGGCACCCAACAAAACCAAACATCAATGCCACCCCTATATAGTCTAAATAAAATATGATGAATTTCTAATACCAAATCTTTTCTATTATTTCCTTCTCCCTTAATACTTTCCACTACTGCTTTAGAGTCTGTGCACACCACCACCCTGATTGGTCGAATCTCCTCCACCCATTGCAAGCCTAATATAACTGCCACCATTTCTGCTGTAAATACCGACAATTGATCTGATATTCTTTTGTGAATACATTTTTTAAACTCTGGGATATATATTCCTATACCCACATAACCTTTTAGATTTTTAGAACCATCTGTATAAATTTTAAGGTAATTATTATATGTAGTTCTTAAATAAATATCAGTTTTTATCCCTATTTCATTTATATTCCAATCATTTTTCATTGTATTGATTTGCAAATCTACATTAACCTCAGGTATTAGCCATGGAGGAATAACGCTAATTGGGTTAAATTGAGCTATTTCCTTGTCTTCTAGTCTATACTTTTTAATCCATTTCCTAACCATCCATCCAAATCCATTACTTTGGAACTTCACATATTCCCAACAATTTTGCAGAATAGTTGAATTCACATGATTATCTATATTACTTTTAATTTTCATCCAATATGCTAAAGCTAATTTAATTCTCCTCATTTCAAGTGGAGTTTCCCCACTTTCAATTAATAGAGCATTAATAGGTGTTGTTTTTATTGCTCCTGTACATATTCGTAAAGCCCTACACTGTAATCTTTCTATTTTTTGTAATGATGTTTTAGCTGCTGCTCCATATATAATGCTGCCGTAATCTATTATTGCTCTCATTAGAGCCCTGTATATGCTTAATAATGACTGTCTATCTGCCCCCCGGATACAGCATCAGTAAGGACGTCTGCGATTGGCTAGCGGTAACATTACGTAATCAAGAGGGTTCCAAACTATCCAATAGTGGCGCTCGTCTCTATACTTAACACCCGCCTCCTTCAGGATCGTAGAATAGAATGGATATGTGTCTATCAAGTGTAGCTCAAAGGAAGATTTCAAAATAATATATTTTATATTTTAATATATTTTATAATATATTTTATTTTTATATTTAATATATTTTTGTTGAAAAACGTATAAATCTGAACAACTATCAACATGTTTGAGCTTTTCTGTCAAAGTTTTTATTAAGAAAATCAGACTTTATTATCTAATTTGTAATAAATTTTTATGAATAAAGTTTTTAGAGGAAAAAAGCTAAACAGGAATATATAGGTTCTGGAAACATTTATGTATATAAGGAACAGCTAAAACTCAATATAAACCCATGAAAAACAACACATAACAGTAAAAGAAGTCCAGTCACTAAATGTGATAAAATAGAAAAGAGAAACCAGCAGATGGGGATTATCCAGGTCCAGAAAGTAAAAACTCTTAATAGTTCCCTTTATCCTGGTCACTTAACCAGGTGATCAGCCTAAGAGCCATTTACCAAACCGCTCCACTTGCACAGCTGGATGAAGCTGACACCCCACCCACATCAAAAGACTCTGCAAACAGACTGAATGCTTTGTGCTGTTAGTGCAGAAAAAATATTGTTTGTTCTTCTTTTGTTTGAGACATAATAAAGAAATTTTTTAGGTAATCCAGAGGTCACCATCCCCCCATTAAACTCTATATATGTAATTTGTGCTGCTTTTATTTAAAGATATAATTACAATATAATTTCAGTGATCAACAAATGGAACAACAAAAAAGAGAGTGGTTTTTAACCAGTCAATGCAATCAGCTGGTTTTCCCTAAGTAGAAAACTTTGAACCAGTCTGACTGCATGATCTGGTTGAATTCTCTCTGTAAAGTGCCTTGAGATGTAATTGTGTTATTGTTGTTGGCGCTACATAAATAAACTGAATTGAATTTAATAAATGTCCAAACAGCCTGTCATAGCGGACTGCATATAATCCAACTGATCTACTCAGCAGCAATGTTCTCCTACCTCATTTCCCTCTGTTTTGCAGCTGTAGTGCTGCTGCTCTTTTTTCCAATTTGTTTTTTATATTTCTACATCAAAATCCAAAATCTGTAGTTCCAGTCATGTAAATAGGCATTTCCTGTTGTCTGTTGTCACGGTGACTCTTCAAATCAGGGCTCCACTGATAATAGCTTTTCATAGTTGTTAAAAAACCTGCTTAGTTCTGAGTTAACCGACTCACAGTTGATTAAATTAACTCACAGCAACTTTTATGAAACTGAAAACACTGTGTTTCTCTTCCTTAGGCTGGATCATTTTAGAGTTTAGGATTTGAGTCTGAGTTTATTGAACCTGCTCTGTGAAACAGGCGTCTTGTGGCAGACATTATTAAAACAGAACTGATTGAGCAAGTGGATAAAGATGAACAGAAGTCGGAGGTGGGGCAAAATAAAAAGAAAAGAACAGAAAGAGGGTGAATTTTTTTTATTTTTTATTAAAGACTGCCTGCTGGAGGAGAACAGAAAACTGAATGAAGAGCTGTATGGGAAGAAGATAGATGAGCAATACCTAAAAATGATGTCATGGTCAAATATTACAATTCTTCCCTGTTTTCCACTCCATATGTGCCCCAATATTGTTCAGAAAGTGTTAAAACCATTTTCTTTATTTGTTTATCTGTAAATCATCTCATGTGGTTTTCCATATATTAAATAAATTACGTACAACTGAAATATTGTACTGCTTTTGTTAGCAGTCGTTAAGTATTGCAAGGGTATGCAGTAGCAATAAAAATGCAGATTGAATTAATGGAAATACACATATGTGAATACCTATCATTTTGACAGGTGGAAAATAGTGCAATCACATATAAACAAAAAAATAAGACCAACAGCAGCACTACTGTGTAAGACACCAGAGAAAGCAGCTCAAAGTTTTTAAAAAACAGACACTTAAAGTGCCACATAGGTAAAAAAAAAAAAAAAAAAAAAGTAAATAAAATATGGTACTGTAATTCTTTAAAAAAAAAACTGTTATGCAAACATGGTTTGTAAACTGCAGCTTCTACTTTAAAAAGGAGAGGGGCAACATGTGTGGAGGGCTCAGCGATGGCAGAAATGTTTAGACTCTGCTGGGCCAGAAGAAGACATGATGACCCGTGGTTCAAGTTAAGGTTCATTTAGGCGTCAAGAGTGTAAAACGTAAAACAAAGAAAATTCAAAGTTTATATCAAAACAGCATAACATCAAGCAAAGATAATGGAAAATAAAGCAATTACAGTAAAGTTGGTGTTCTTGATTTTGTTATGGTTCTCCCCATTTGTGACTCTGAGGTTTTAGTTTTCTGTTATCACTTGTTCTGTTTTGTTCTTTGGTTTATTTTTCCATTATATTAAAGCAGTCTTTAATTACTCTCTGTTGCCCCCTTGTGCTTGTTTCCTTTCCCCTTGGCTCCTTCTTGTCAGTTCTGCTCACACCTGCTCCTTATTCAGCTCATTAGTTCATCCTTTGTTTTGTTTCCTTTAAATACTCCACCTCTGCAGTTACTCAATGCTGGTTCTTGGTTGTTATGCCCTTATCTCTGGCTCCCCACATAAGGTTTTTGGGTCTTTATATTTTGTATTTTTCGCATTTTGGATGTCTGCCTTAGCTACCCAATTAAATGAATCAGAACTAATCTCCGCTTCACTCATCTTTGCATTTGGATCCTGTTGTCGGAAAATTTAGATTTCTCTTCTATTATATATTCATTTATCCTATTTACTCACTATAAAAGTTTTCACTCAGTCTGTTTCACCTTGAAGGCCACACCATTCTCTGCAGGATGGTGTTTGTAGACCAGACATAGCCTCTTCCCATAACAAATCAGATTCTTTCTCAAGGTTTATTCATAACATGTTACTGTTTAACCAAAGTGTCTGTAATTTGTTTTGACTCTGACTACTTTTCCATTGTTGTAAGTAAGGGGGGACGGACGCTGCCCATGCAGAACAGGGCAGAATGCTGTGCCATAAGGGCTGTATGATGAACTGTTCTCTCTTTGCAAAGATATGAATAAATGTGCCGTATGAGTGAAATCTATCGATCTCTGTTTATTTAACTAGGATAATTAGTTGAATACTTTTTTCCCACGACTGGTCCTCAAGCTACCTCATCACCCATTGTTGACAGATTTAAAATCCACATTGCATAGCCCTCTAGTTGCAGCTCTGAACATGCTGTGAAATGAGACTGTAGCATGTCATATTAATATGTTAGTTATATGATGACTTTACCACCATACACAGATCCATGGGATGAACAATATTCAGGATTATACCATCTATTTTCATCATTATACAACCCAGAAAGACTTGTTTATATTTATCTATTTTAATCAGTTGTAAACTTCCAAAGTTTTCAG